ATTCCCGGCTCGGGTCAGGGCTCCGCGTCTGCCAGGCGGGGATGGAGGAACACAGCTGTCCCTTCCCCGAGGAATGTCCTGGAGGCCGGAGGTGCCAGCTCACAGGAAACAATAGGCCCCCAGCGGCCGGGAGCTCCTGTGACACAGGCCCGCCCACACCCCTCTGGCTGGACCGCCCGCCACCTCCCAGCACGGCCCCACCTGACCCCACAGACCAGGAGGGGAGGCCTCTGGTCAAATACACCACAGGGACCTGCGGGGACAGCCGGGCCCTCTGACAGACAGGCCCCACCGTCCCACCTGGTCTCTCTCCATTTGGGTAGTAATTCTCTTCAACCCGTCAAACATCCACGAACCTAGTGCTTCATCGTGAGGCTACGCTCTTTCTAGAACCTTCTCGCTTAATCCTCACAGCCACCCTGCAAAGGGGACATTGCTGTAATCCCCACCTCAGAGCAAGAACCAAGTCAGAGAGGGCAAGCCACTCGCCCCGGGAGGCACAGCAGGAAGGGATGTGAACCAGGACTTCCCACTCCGGCCCACACACCGTCCCCACGGTGCTGCCCTCCCAGAGGAGCGCGGGCATTTCACGCCTGACCCAGCTCGGCGCTGGGGACCTAAGTGTGTCCGTGTGACCGGCAGCCTGAGCCTGGTGTGCCCTCGCGCCTTCTCTCCGCCTCCCGCTGCTGTAACAGGTCACGGTGGTGAGCACGCGGCTTGAGTCCTGCGTGTCCTCTTGGGAACCATCGAGTCCAGGGTGGACACACCACTCCACTCTCATCTCCAACCCCCTGCGCTCACCCAGCTCCTCGCCAGGCCTCTGGCTCTTCCCAGCTCATGCCACGCGTGCTCACCCCCGACCTTGGCCTCCGCGCTGGCCGGCCCTCGCCGCCTCTGGGTGTTGCTCACACAGAAAGCCCTCTGTGTCCTCCCTTGGCAGGAGCGCCACCCCTCCGGCCGCCCCGCCCGTGTGCTGTTTTCTCCAGAGCCTTCGTCTCCCCTGCCAAGTGCCCATCTCTGCTCGTCTGCCCGGCGCCCCCACAGGACACCAGATCCGTGAGGACCGGGCTGGGGACCCCCTTCCTGGCCGCCCTTCCCGCACGGGAGCCGGCGTTTAGGAGGCGCCCAGGAGCGTGGGTTGCTGAGTGAGTGGTGTGCACGCGGCCACCTGGGCTGGGTGAGGAAGCCATGGGCTCCC